TTAAATTTTTTCTCATTTAATATTCATAAACTTTTTAAAACAATAATTTATACAATAATAAATAAAGGTAAAATAATACATTTATATTAAATATAATGATGTAGTTTATAAATAAAACTAACAGAAACCCTTCTCTAATCACTAAACAATGGGATATTTTTGAAAAAATTGTTATACATCCCCTTACATATTAATTACAAAAACTGATCTCAACTTTTTTTGTGTGGGTATATTACTAATTAATTAAAAAAATTTATATCTAAAACCAGGCATAATATTAATTAAATTAAATTAATTATTAATGCGCAGCTTCACCCTCAGACAACCTGATTATAAGCATCGATAAGTGAGATTAGCGGCGTGCCCCTAAATTATGACCCCTAATTACTCTAAGTCTCCTCTCTAATCAAATACTACCTTATGTCCTTAATATATGAGCTAATTGATTAATTTGAGTAGATGAAGAAAATTAGTTAAATTAGTTATTTGTAATAAATACATGTTGTCTTTCTTAAATTATCCTCGCTAATCAAATTTATTAGTTAAAACTACTATTATTACAAGGACTACTTTGGAAAAAATTTGATAAATATGAGAGACAAAGTAGATTGAGATCTTATATTTAGGATCAAAATAAAAGTCAAATAAACTCTTATATTAAGAATCAAAGGAGCATAAAATATCCATGTAAGGCCATCAAACTAGCTCCTCCTCTTTATGTCAAATACTGAATTATGAAAATTGTTTGTACTATTAAGGAGGTGTTTGGATACCCCAATAATCATTTTTCAGAAGTACTTTTTTATAAATCGAGATAAACTCCTTCACATATTTACTTTGTATACCGTAAAAATACTTCTGAAACTATAGTTTTGATCTTACCCAAACACCCCCTAATAAGAATTGATAAAGCAGATATATTTACATTTAAAGAATCATTGCGTTTAGGCCAAGAGTAACAGTAGTGGAGAGCTGATAGTGTTTAATTTTTTTGGCCAGCAGCTGATAGTGTTTAATTAAACAATTCAAATAATGTTGGCAACATTTACATCTTTGAATGTGTACTTGCGTACATTAAATTATTCCCTCTCGCCTCTGCAAAACGACAAAGCTATGTCGGCAACACAGCATGGCCTGCCCCAAACATTAATTTACGCTCTCATAATTCATAAATTATTACTCACTGCTCACTTTTATTACTAACATAAGAACCATTATGAGAAATTAATTTATTGTATCTCTTATTTTATTATGCTTTAAAACTAATATAATCTCATGCTATATATATACATATTTTAAAAAGATGATATTATATTTGTTATAATTAACTAATTTATTTATTTTTTAATATATTTAAATTAATTAGGTAATTTTTATATTAAAATCAGGAAAAGTAATATATTATTTATTGTCTGTATATTTGAGTTTTAACCTTAAAAAATTCCTGTTTCTTCTAAAAAAAAAGTAGTTCAATATAGAAATGTATTTATCTTCTTTTCTTTATTACATGAAAATGGATTTATGAATTTATGGGTTGCATTGCCTTTTACTAACCTCGTAAATGACCAAATTCACCAGCATGTTGGAGCAATTTGCCTCAAAAGTGAAACTCATGAATGCTGAGTGGGGACTCGCGTGCTGCCCATATTCCCCTCATATGTGTGTCTCATCTTGTCTAGACTCATTCGCTTTTTCAATCTATTTGAATTTACCTTCAAAATCAATTAAAAATTAGTTATAACGTCAGGAATTAAAATTCAAATTCTCAAGTATTCATATTCAGCACCCAATAATAGTTCAAATAAAATTATCTTTAATTGGATGATATTTATGCGTAACAAAAAAATTAAAATGAATGAGATGGATTTTCTCCCTCTTAAATGAAAATTTTGTTGTCAAAAAGAAAAAAGCTCATAAAATAGATAGCGTTTTATTTCTTTCTTTGCTTATTTTAAAAAAGGCAAAAGTATATCATTGATTTCCTAACTTTATCCCATATTTCAGTTTGCTAATTTAATTTCATACAATATCTTTTTTCAATTCTGTAACTCTAATACCTTAGTCTCAAATAATAACTTTTTTATAACGATATTTGAGAATGTTTTGTTAATATTTAAATTATAATATTAATATTTTTTGACAAGAGTATTAGAATTTAATAACTAAAAATATATTTAAAAAAAATAAACAATTAAAATAGAACTTTGTATAAAATCAAACAACTAAATAGGGACTTGTATTTAAAAACAACTTCAAAGGCAGAGAATTCACTCTCAAATAATAGTGGATTAAAAATAGAAGCAAAAAACTTTATTTCTTCGTGGGGAAGGTAAAGAGATCTATTTGATGGAGAGGATGAGCGTTATCACCATATCCAACATCGACTGGCTGGAAATTTTAGATTCCACGATCGCACATAAATCCTACAACTGAAAACGACACGCAATCTGACTGTCGTTCCCCACCCCCTTTGTCTCTCTTCATCTCTCACCGTCTTCATTTTCTCACTCCCCTCCTTCTCTTTCTTTGGACCACCTCACCATTCAAGAAAATCCCAGAACTTTCACAAAAATAAATATTACATCTTTTTATGTAATTATTCATGCTTATCTTACCAGCAAGTAACATTCCTTACAAGACACAGTCAAGGGATGCCGGAATGAATTGCCATCATGTTCTCATTGACCAACTTAAAAACAAAAAAAAAAACAAAACCTAAAAGTTGAGCTCATATGTAAGCAAGGTCTTGCCCTGGCTTTGGGTGATATCAATTTCCTTGTTAAGCAAGATTGAGTGAGTGAGACGGATGCCTACTTAACCAAACAAAAAACAAAAAGAAAAAGAAAAAAGAGATCAACCACAGACAGCATAGTTAGATGATGATTACAAGCTTTTCTTGCTTCTCTCCTTTACGTGGAAGCTAGAGAAACTAGGGTTTGAAATATTAATCACATCATCAATAATAATAAGGGTTAAGATTTATCCAGTATCTAAAAGTATTTTTCTAAATACATCTAACACTTTAAAGTATTTAGTGATTTATCCAACTATTTGAAATATTTTTATTTTTCGAACTTTATCTGACATCCTAAAATATTTTGTGTTTCATTCAACACCGTTGACTGTTTTACCAGGTGCATCAATCGCCCTAATTTAGAGTAAGGGTTTAAGGTGTTTAAAATACTAAATGCACTTAAAAAAATACTTCAGAATGCTAAATGAACAACGATAAATTTTTGTTTGCTAAAGGCACTTGAAAAAATACTTTAAGGTGTTAGGCAAATTGCAAGATATCTTAGGGTGCTAGATATATTTGAAAAAATATTTCAGGGTGCTGATCAAAGCTTAATCCTAGCCAATAATAATAATGATGTGTCTTTGGCCACATGGAACAAGCATGCAACACCAATGGTCCATCACATTCCCAAATAAACTGTTTCAAGTCATTTTCATGGCAGCTCCTTCCAATATGTATCATCTCTGTGAATTGTCTCTGTCTCATCTCCTTCCCCAGCAACACATGATAAAACAGAGTAGCAGACCCTTAACTCCCTCCTGCTTACTTTTCTGTTAATACTATATTAGTTAAACATCAAACACACAACATAATTCTTAGCCGTAAGAAAATCAGCCATCCTGAGACAGTCCAGATTGCTTCGAGAATATATGCTAAAAGTGGTAGCTTGTGAATAACTAGACTGCGCTTTTCAGCTTTCAAACTTATTCTCTATTAGGGAGATGCAAAGAGAAAGAGAGGCATAATCTAGTCGAAGTCGTTGTATTGGTCATACAGATTCCTGAATTTCACTCACCTTCTTGTCCTGAAACACAGCACATTCATCAAAGTGCAGGGTATAGGATATGCTTGAGCAAAAGCTAACACAAAAAATTATGAAATGGGTCATTATCATCACAAATCACTCTGAAATCAAGTAAACAAATCATTGTGGGTATTGGTCCCGGAAGCACTATCCAATCTTAAATTTAATATTAGGCAAGAAAATGACAGGAGTGGAAATGTGGCCCGCAATAATGTATTCTCTCTAGTATTTGCAAATTTATATATTATATTATATATGCTTGTTAGGCTAGAACCTTCCCCACATACTTTTCTTACCTTTTTTTCAACTTTCTAGGCCCACCATTAAATAACTAAGGACGCAACTTTGTTTTCTTCTCTTTGTATTTTCTTCCTTTCAAACCACCATGTTGCTTTCAAAATTAGTCTACAAAACCTTTTTAGGACAACTACCCAACAAAACAGGGAAGGTTATGGGTTGTTATAAAGCCCATTTTAAATAAGCTACACCATTTAAAACACATCAACAATATCCTTATCTGTAGATTTTATAATGGCTTGGTGTGCTTTTGTCAACAAAACACAATACGATATCAAATTAGTGAGCATTAAGAAAGGTTCAAACTGAGTTGATATCAGCATCTTTTAAGGACCAAAATGCGAGTTCAATTCAATTTGTGTCAGAATATAACAAGCAAGTAGGGGTCTCATTTGAATCCCAGCATCTAGACTCAATCTCTCTCCTCAGCAAAGGTATTCAATTTGGTATTCTGCATGGGACCCCGGCCTCAAATTGAAAACGAATAGTCAAGTCACAGCCTTACATGTCTCAGAGAACAAATAAGCCCATGGACTAAATCCTCCTACTATTCAACTATGCTATATTGTTGGCTGAAAACAATGCTGAAAGCTCAAATCAGTAACAATCTTGGATATCACAAAGAAGAATCTTCCCAGAAGAAACGAGATTAAATCAAACCAAATTCATACAATTGTGCAGACTCTTATTGAACTTCTAGAAGGGGGAAAAGTGATTTTTACAATCTTTAATCCCATTGTTTGGATTCCGAAATCTGAAGGGGGGGTAAAAAAAGCATACTACCAAATTACAACTGACATACCCTTTGTCTCACAAAACAAACAAGAAGCTTACACCATAAGATATTCGTAGCTCTGACCATCCTGCAAGTAATAGAACATTTCAACCACCGAGGAAAGTATTGTCAAGCCAGGAATGCAAGAGATCAGTCTTGCTCATTGTTTGGTCTAGAAGACTGAACAGTGTTGGAGACAGCATGCGGGCAACTCTTGGTAGTGTAGGGTATGTTAGAGTACCAAGAATGAACCAATTGAGGCTTAACAGAGCAACTGCATGAGATGCAGGCTTGTTCTTGATGGTGGAAAAAAACTGAACCACACTCCTCAAGGACATGCCAACCACTGTGAGGAGAGCTACCACTAGAGGCATGCATGGGTCTCCAGCTTCCCACACAATTATTCCAACTACCAGGGACAAAAAAGCACTGAAAATTGACTGGGAAAGTGCAGCATCCCGACAATGATCGAGTACTTCACTCCTTTCTATTTTTGCAATTGCTTCCAGTCTAACCGGCAAAGCAGTTCCAGATTTTGATCCAGTTTTCATGAGTTTGAGCAGCTCCGTTCTGTTCTTGCTCTCATCTTCCCAAATATCCTTTTGCATGAGTGGACTTTGTAATGCAATTCCACTTCCATTATACTTGGAGTTCCCTGACAGGATATAATGTGAACTGCCACTGGTGTTTTGGCCATTGTCCGTGTCATCTTGATTTTTACAACTCCAGTACGCCTTGCCCTGAATTTCCTTTAGCCTACAATTTTCATCTTTCAAATCCTGCAACTGTAAATGAAACAAGGGTGTGAGAGCACTAGATGGAGAAAGGATTGTAGTCTATAATGGGGTCTACAAACTTCCAAACAAGGAAAATTTGATTCATGATTACCTAGAAGGTAATAAACCGCTGACAACCATGCAAAGCTGAAAACAGAAACCTCACAGAGGATAGTGAGATTACAACTAATGGCTTCTTTTGCATCTTCAATGATATTCTGCAATTTCTACTTTTCCTTAGACCAAAAATATTCAAAGACTAAGATTTTCCAAGCCTAATGACCTAATATGTTTTAGAGTTTAGACACTAATAGAGACTTGCCCACTGTTATATGATGCGGAACTTCATCATTTGCAAATCATAATGCACATTAATGATAAAGCAAGACATAAATATTTTCTTAAGTAGTAATTTTAGTAGGATTTCAATAAGGAAAGCAAGTTAAATCTTTGTTCTGATGAAAAATCATCAAAAGGTCGTCGGTCACCATGTGATAAACTCAACAGTTGAATGTGTTTAGCCCAAGGAATACATTTGAGCAGGATATACAAAGGAATAAAATACATTTACCTTGGCCTCTAACTGTTCAATTTTTGCAATAGCCAAATTATGCTCCTCTTCAAGCTCTGATAATACTGCCTCCACCATTTTCCGTTCTTTGCGTTCTCTAATGGCTATCTTGATATGTTCTTGAAATGCCTTCTGATCCCCCACTAGATTCTCCAACTCATTCTGCAGTTCTTGTAGTTGTTCTTCTAGCTGTACAACAAACATAATTAACCTCAGATTCAAAACAATAAGATGTTTAGTGTAGGATGGAGGGGGATCCTAAAGATAGTGAATTCCCAGGTGTAGACCAAAATCCATTCCTTCAGCATGCACAAGAGGAAAATGCAGGACAGCAATTTTATCCAGCTATATCTTATGGCAATCTGGCATAAGCAGGTATCAGCATCTCTTATTGGAAGCTAAGCCTTAAGCAGATAGATTGTTAATTCTATTTGAATTATATAACAGTTTGTACAAATAAGATTACCGTTTTTTTTTTTTTAAGTGCCAAAGTACAAATGGGATTACGGGTTTTACGGTTTACCTTTATCCTTTTTCCCCAAAAAAAAAAAACAAAGAAAGAAAACCCCTCTTTCTTGCAAACAAAATGCCCTTTAAATAACTTGCTTATTATGCAGAATGATCAAGAATTTCAAAGGTTTCAAAAGAAGGTGCAGGCCAGAACAGATCATGAATTGAAACGTGTCCTGGTACCCAACGCAGAATAAAAACTAACCTGCCTTTCTCTTTGCAAGGCATTCACGACTCGTGCAGGTATAGAGATAATACCAATTGTCCATGTCACAATTCTCCATATTAAGTTCAAATTGAATCTAACAGTAGCCTTCACCAACTCTGTCCAAGCGTAAGTGAAAAGAAATGCAGTTCTGACAATAAACACGCACGACAACTTGATTAAAGCAAAGGGGCCGGTCACCAAGAGTATTATGTTAGACAACAGCTCAGGAATCAATGCCATTAATGACAAAAGCAACTGTTATTCCTCCGCAACTGTTACATGTTCAGCAGTGCCGTAATTTTACACCAGCGGATCTCAACATCCTGCAACATCAGCTAATCCACATGAAAAAGAATACGGGACTAAAATAAGTATACTAGAAAAATATCCGAGAAGTCTATATGTAATAACAGCTTATGAGAATCTAATCAAGTGTGAAGACAGGGAGGAAAAATTAGACGACGCATAACACTTGGTGTACTTGCTAGCAGCTAATTATTTAAGAAGGGTTCACCCAAAAAACGAAGTTCTTAAGGTGCCCTGAAACTAGAAGAACCGCGCACACAAACTCACAAGTGACTGGTATTAATCGTTGAGTGTGAAAGAAAAGGATGCCAAGGAGAGAGCAAAGCAAATAGAAAGGAGCCGCATGCAACGGAAGACCCGCTAGCCGTTATTTGATCAAAAGACAAATCCGCTGAAAAAACAATTAATATAGTAAGAAGCGCATTGAGCAAGAGGAGAAGTACAGCCTTTACAAGAACACGAATTGTCTGAGAATGACAGCGATCACATTAAATAATCAACATTTGCTTGCTGAAGTGAACAATGCCAAGATGGGTACAGTAGCGCAAGAAGAAAAATGGGTAAAAACCAAAAGCAAATTCAATCAAACCCACATGCAACAGGCCCCTCAATCTCAAACGACATAAGAAAATCGAAGATTGATCTTCATCGTTTGAAGCCCGAGCATACAATGTGAAACACAGCAGATATAATTCAATGGAAGCAAAAGGCTAAATCAACGCTCTTACGCTGAGAAAAAAATGCAGATAGACATTGACTCAGAGCAGAGTTGATAAGCTGAGAGTGAAAGAGAAAAAGGGACAACGAGATGAGGCTTGAAATGCACAGATTGGGGCGTAAATCATAATTCAGGGAAAGCATAGGTGGCAATGCGTGCATCTCCGAGCTGCCACGTACGGAAAAATGAAACTTTTCTAAATTTAAATAATCTTATTTGGCATTTGGGACTATATGAATTAGTTTTCCGGTATGACCCAATTTTGAGTTGGTTTTAGTCCTAAATATAATATCATTTCTTATATTTATCAATTTTCTCTAAATTACCCTATAGATACCCCTCAATTATAATCAAATAGAAAAGGGAGAGAGGGTATTAAGAAAGATGATTATGGTATTTTAAAAAAAATGTATCACTTTTCTTATAATAAACTAACTTACCTAACTTTTTTAATCTAATCAAATTAGTTAAATGGGTCTTATATTAAAGATCAGAAGAGTAAAACGAAAGAGAGTGGAAAGCGAATTGACATCAGGAGGGATGCCGGCGTCGATTGTGTTCATGAATGCCACGTCTCTCCCCCCAGGCAGCACAAGTGTCCTTCGTTTTGATCTTCTTTGTATTATCCATCTCTCACATCTTTGTTTTATTCGTAAATGTCGATAAGACCAAACAAGTTTTTGTTTCCTAGATGGCTCACATGACTATGTCAATGTATTCAATATATTTCGGGACAAAATTCTCGGCTTTTCGATTATTTATGACGTGTGGGAACTAAGGATGCTAAAAACTCAAATACTCGTCACTTCCCAATTTTATTAAGAATTGTATGCTACTTTATGAAACCAGTTTCGGTACTTATTATTTTGATCAATATTTTAAACTTATCAAATCTGTATCATTCATATCGAATGGTTTAGATTTTTTTTTAATTTTTATTCAAAATAATTATTTTAATATGTATAGAATTTAAAATAGAGATAATGTCTTAACTATCATTTTTTTAAAAATAGTTTTGTCTATTTAAAAATAAATAATTAAAAATTTTAAATTTGAACGATTCAAATCAAATATAAACAGTCCAGATCTAATAAGTTTAAGATGCTCGTCAAGATGATGAGTAGTGAAACTGATTCCCTACTTCATCCTTATTACAAGAGGCATTCTAGAAACTTGTTTTGATCCTCAGTGTAAGGGGTAATGTAATACTCTCCCTCCAGTTTAAAATATAAATACTAAATAACTACACAATTTAAAAAGTTGATAAAATTGGTTAAAGATAATAGAAATGTAAAAATACAACTTTTTCTCTTAAAATAACCTTATAAATAGAGAGGGTAAATGAGAGAAAATAAGTAGAAAAAGAGATGAGGAAGACATGTAATTAATTATGAGTAAAAACAGAAAAAAAAATAAGTTAAATGATTAGATAAATGTAAAGTGATGCTTATAAAACGAACAAACTCCTTAGAAGATTTGATACCTATATTTTTCTTAATATGTGATTTGACTGTATCGTTGCGTTTTGGGGTTAAATAATATAGAAGAATTGGATTCAATCAATATGCATAAAAATATTAAAATCACAACGGGAAGAATGACTATTTATTATACTGGCATATTATACGTTTGCTGCAACGACATTGACCCTTTTCCACCCACCAAAACGAGGATTCTGAGGTTTAATAGTCAATTTGCATGTTGGATATATTTGAGTTAATTTAATTTTCAATTTCAGCTGCGAAGATTAAGTCATACACATTAATTGCCATTCTCATCACTTAGCCTCTAGGCCAGAAAATAAATCCAGCAAACTTTGTCAGATGCTCTTGGACATTTTTATCCGAAATATTGACGTGATAGCTACTACGATGGAGGACACTTCAAGAAAATCAAATGGCATAAAACTGTTACTACAAGTTTTCAATTGAAATACACATATATACAGGGCTAGAGTTTTACAAACTACAGCAGCATATAATCGTCCCATACATATCAACTCCTAACTCAATTTGAATATTGAAAAAAAAAAAAATCAGCACGCAGTACGAAAAATTGTCTGGTTTCGTGATTCCTTAACGAGTAAGCGAGAGTGAAACGCCCAGCCTAGCTAGCTCTTATTCCCATCCACACACACAGTCACAGAAGCGTCGCTATAAACTAATAAAGTCACCAAAAAGTAATAAAGCTATCATCTTCTTCTTCGTTGTATCTGTACCGAACAATCCATTGCCTTTCTCCAGAAAAATGAATCCAATAATATTCATTCTGGGTTTGAAGCTGCTGAACTCAAACACTAGCTAGCCTCAAATAATCAACTGTTATAATTAACTTCCTAAGTAAGCGTTTCTGTAATCCAAAACATGCGCATGCACTTACGTAGTATATATATCTCTTTCTCTGGAGTTGGCGAAGATTTGAGGAACCCAAAAGGGATATGAAATCTGGGAAATAAGAAAAGAATCATTTGGATTCGGTGGTACAGCGAGAAGGAATATAACTTCCATTAAGGGGATGAAACTTGAGCATGCACTCCAAATGGCACCAGAACTTAACGGAACCTAAACGTCCTATTCTCCACTGAGTCCTCGCATTACCCTTCAAATCAAACCCTATCAGATTCCTCTGCCACGAGTTCGTCATCTCCGCCATCTGGTCCGGCGTCAACGGTATCGACGACGACTGCACCACGTAGTTCAGATACTTGGAACTGTTCTTCGCCACGTCGAACGGATCGGACCGGAGCACCGCCATGTCCTGCCCCTGGTAGCTCAACTTGAACCACATGTCCGAGAACGACGCGTGGGCCTTGCCGTTTCCGTTCTGGGCCCGCACATCGATCCTGACCTGAGTCTGCAGATGGCCGGCGAGGTCGTTTCGGAGGAGATCCAGGTGGGCGAAGCTGACGCTAAGGGTGGGAATGCGCGGGTGGATGAGTATGTAACCGATGAAGGCTGCGATGCCGACGAAGATAACGGCGATGGCGAAGACGGTGCAGAGGATGGCAGCGAGCCAAAGGAGCGGGTGGGTACGGTTGTGGGGGCCGTGGTAGAGACGTTTCTTGAACATCGGATTCGCAGGCATTTAAGGTTTCTGCGTGAGAGAGAGAGAGAGAGAGAGAGGAGGGAATCGAGGAATTTGTTGTGAGGTGTGATGTGAGATTTTATCTCCGTGATGTGAGAGAAGATTAATGGAGGTGTTTGGGAGAACTTGAAGGTCAGGTTCTTTGACTGGTGGGACAGGGAAGGTTTTGGTATCTTCTTTTCCTGGGTTTAAAGCAAGATTCATATGTTTTTGCCGGTGATGATGTTTCTTTTGATCTGAGTTTTATATAGTTTTCTTGTCCAACTATGAATCTTTTTGTTGTTCTTCGTATACTATGAACCTTTTTGTCCAATTATTAATCCAAATCTTCCTTAATGATGTACGTTTTACTTCTGACAAAGTTTTGATTGGGACTTTTGCAGGCTGCTTTCATGTTAAGAAAGAATCATTTCTTTATGTCCAGTATCTATCAAATACAACAAATAAATCTTTGATTTTGAATGATTAGGACCTCTGTATTTGAACTGAAATCCCTTCAATTCGTCTCAGTTTAAATTTTCTAATCATTAAATCCATTTAATGGTTTTCAATTTTTTTTTTACAGATTTATAATCCGAAAAAAGAACAAAGAAATAGATAATAATTGGCCGAAAAAGATCAAGAGTTTTGGAATCAATCAAATTATCATGGAGAGAACTTCAAATTCGAAAAAAAAAATCCAAATTCTTTGAATGTTTTAGGCTTTCAGCTCACTTCTCAAGTTATTCAAAAACAATTTTAATGCATCCTATAAATGAACAATGTGCAATCGCAACTTTTTTTTTGGCCCCCCCAGTAGACTAAAGACGTTATTGCTGAGGCGAAAATCCATCTTTTAGTCATTTAACTATAAAATTATTAATATCAAATAATAATTTTTAATAATTATTATTATTTTAAAAATTAAACTTAATATTTCAATATTAAAAAATACATTCCCAATATTGAAAATTTTAATATCAGAATTGTTTTGTTAACGATGTTCAAAACACCAAAAATATTTTTTATAAAATCATAATAAATCAAAATGAAATTTTATGTGAAATTAAAAGACCGTGTTATTGTGTATCTTTGCCTCTTTTTTTTTTTTGAGCACTTTTTCCTGCCACCAGTATAGATAGGTAATAGTTGTATCTTAGCCTATGACTTCTTATAACTCATTACTGATGTGATCCTGCATATTTTGTGTATTTTATATGTGTAATTGATATTGATACTAATTAATATTTATAATATTAAGAGTACATACATATTATATATGCATTTAGTAAAAAGAAGACGAGAATAAACAACTTTACTAAAGTTTAATTCAAGCTTTGCAAATATATTAACTATATTTATTAGTTCAAGTTTTGTTAAATATACAACAAAGTCCTCCCTTTGCCATGCGTGCACGTGGTAAAGTTTGTCCTTATCTTCACTTCAAAATACATAATATTATCCGTGCACCCGTGCCCATGTAATGTGTAAATAAAGAAAAGAATTCGTGGTTGTTATCCAAAAAAAAAAAAAAAATTCGTTGGGTTAAAAAAAAGAAGTCAAGTATATGGTTTATTAATAAAGGATTTTAAATTTATTTAAGTAGATGCAATAATATTCCGTGGAATGTTTTGGGAAAAAATAGATGCCAACAAAGATATGCTCTTCAATATTGTGGTACAAAGAAAAAAAGAAAGAAGGTATCTTAAAAATTTAGGAATTTTTTTTTCACTTTTGAGATGCTATTGGATAATAAATATGAATACTTTTCTTAGCGGAGTATTGGTTGATTACGTGATGAGAAATTAATTCTTTAACTAAACTCTATCTCCCCTTAGTAAAATTTGGAATATTCGAACCACAAACAGTTCAAAATTGTCAACTGTCCCGCTGAGACGGCAACTGCAATACCCAGAAGATGCAATGGGCTGCTTTCAATTAATATTCGGCCCAAGTCAGTTTGCTTTTGGGCTCAATGAATTGGGCCCCCAGTTACCATCAAGTGAAAATACACTCCTATTTTTTTAAAAAAATATTTTTATCATCAAGATATCAAAATAAATGTCAATATGATATAACATTAAAAACTATTAATGTGCAACGAGTATAAAAATAACTTTTTGGGCGTTGTTTATTATTAAATTAGACATGAGTACGTGTATTTTTATAATCTAATCCATGTTATTAATGAATAAATGATGCTACTATTATCCAATTATTATATGGTTGGTCATATAATTTATACCCATGAATGACTTATGAAAAATTCTAAAAAAACCTCTCATTTAAATATTCAATATTTAAAGATATTTGAAATTTGCTAGTCTGTGGACAAATGCAACTTATTTTCAATAATAAAATTGTTCTCCAACTGTATGAAACGTATTTTTTAATTATGTGTAAATTTCTGTCATTTTATATTTAAAATATAATGTGAGTGTGCAACTTTCTTTTAACTATATGCCAAAAGCTTCAACAAGGAAAACATTTGCATATGATTAAAGAATCAGTTAAAAGGAGTGGTACGTGGGTTACAATCGCCCAATAACCTAGGTCCTCAAAGGAATCTTAAGTATTTCACGGTAATAGAATTTCCGATGGAGAATTTTGCAGCAAGGTTTCCATGATTTATTGATTTTTATTTAATTAAAATAAATCGCGGGATTTTTTCTTTTTTGAAAAAAAAGCCAGAAAACCAAGCGTCGTCGAAATCAGCACGAGGTGATTCCAAATTTGTTGTTTTGCAGGAAGATTTTTATGGTTGAAGGTCAAAGCGGTGAGGTGTATTGGAGACACATAAGCTTATCGGAGATGAGACGTTGCGATTTGCAATCTTTCGATTCGTCTTACTTTCCAGGTGGGCTGTATTACGTGATTCTGCCGATTTCTCATTCCCCTTCTTGTCGCGCGCAGCCGCACACATACACACTTTCATTGTAAATCCCATGTTACGTGGCTGATCTTTCAAACGCACACCATCATTGAATTCGTCCATGATAATTTACTTTCCTCTTTCTTGTTCGCTCTCTATAGTCCGTCACTTGCCTGCAAAATTGGCCCTCACTCTTCCTCTTTCAATTTCATTCCATGACAATGAGACTTTCGCACGCTTTGGCGCAAGGACCTTTCAGAACAACATCATCGGCGCCGCTCAGCCGCCGTAATTTCAATTTCGGCCCCAATGCCAAAAGGGTTTCTGAGTTCGGGAATCATAGCTATAGATTCCTGAATTGCCGGTGTAGCACCTCAGGTTCTGCTGTTTCTTCAGCTGCGAATTCTTCATCGCCTGCTATTGCGTCGAATTCTGGCATATCTCGGAAGAAGCCATGGAAGCTGGAAGCCATTGAGGAGGACATAGAAAAGGTAAGAGTTTGGTAATTCTAGAAACTTTTGGAATTGTTTGTACTCAAGCTTAATGTCTTCTCCCTTTTTGTGTTTTGGTTGTTGGATTTTGTAGGTCATTTATAGATGCCGGTTTCTGGCTATTCTGGGAGTTTTCGGGTCTTTAATCGGATCGTTTCTATGTTTTATCAAGGTATAATTTTTATTATATTATCATTTTTTTAATCATAGATTACGCAGGGAGAACCCATCTGCCGCTTTTACGAGTGCATACAGATTTGCTGCTGAAGTAATATCACAACCAATGCACTGAGGATAAATACTTCAGTCTCCGCTTTTACCATTTAATTAATAATTAATTTTGTAATGTTTAGACTATTTATTGTGATTGATTTTTAGGCATGTGCTATTTGGTTTTAGATCCTAATTTCACCCGCTGACATTTATAAAACGGGGTTCTACTAAATTATGCGTCTCTGTTAATCAAGAAATACAATAGTTACTCCTATATGCCTGTCAGTTTGGGTACTTCCCTTTTCCCAAGCTCTATAAGGAGATGAAATATCTATTGAACGGGGAGGTAGATAGAGCCATAGAGTGGGGAAGAGGAAAGTTTTTAAATTTTAACAGAAAGGAAATTTGTAATTGCATAACTTTGATTGAGTTGATTGAATGGGTTTTCAACAGCATTGTTCACTCATTGTACTTTGCTTGCGTTTCTCTTTTTATTGCATAATTGTATGTTATTGACCATTTACCATGCAGGGCTGCACATTTGTTGCAGAGTCTTTTGTGTTATATTTGACTGATCGAAGTAAAGTAATCCTGATGCTGGTAGAGGCTATTGGTGAGTATCCCTAAATAGTAAATACTAAAATTAATATACTCTAACTGTTTGTATACAGGGAAGGATACAACAAATCGGCATAAACAATTCTTTTTTTAACAAAGTTAAGTAACTTATTTCCTGAAAGAGGAAATTAAAGGAAGACATACTTAACATAGCCAGCACTCCTTTACTACATTTTGAGTGGATACAAGAGATCAATTTCTACAGTTCACAACATTATACAAGAGATCAATTTCTACAGTTCACAACATTAATTTCGTTTAATAATCTTCAGTTTTCACTGGAATGTCAATTGCTTATGAAGCCTATCTGGCATAAACTACTTATGTGAATTTGAAGTTTGTTACTAGTGTTAAATCCTTTTCTGACATTTGATACCCGACCACTTGTGTTCCATAATTTTCTCATCTTTGCATTATTACCCATGCAGATGTCTATCTTTTGGGAACGGTTATGCTGGTCTTTGGAATGGGTCTCTATGAGCTCTTTGTCAGTAATCTTGGTAGTGCAGGCTCTCTGCCAGATCAAAACGAGTCTTACAGATCCAATCTCTTTGGTTTATTCACTCTGAAGGTTAGCTTTTGCACATACTCTCTGTTTTGTCCATTTGCTTGTAGGTCACCTGCCAATTGGCCCAACTCATCTAACTTGTGTGTCACTGGACAACCAGTTCATGAAGCTTATAGATGTTACTAAAAAGGCATTTTTTTGGTAGCTAAAAAAAGGGCATTTCAAAAGCACTGCCTACATGAAATTCTTGCACCTTCCTTTGGTGTTGCATTGTTCTCTGTCACTTGAAAGTAGCAACTGGTTTACTTGCTTAGCTGACATGAAAAGGGAGTAGGCCTTTGTGTTATATGTATTTTTACTGCCTGATCTCTGATGTGTCTTGGCTATTGGGAAACGACTTGAACTGAATGTAGAAAGACAACTTAAACTATGAGAGACATGCCTGATGTAAAATCCTCTTTTTTACCTCCTCTGTTGACATAAAATGTGGGATTGTTGTTAAAAGAATTAATGAATGCTGCCCCTGGTCAGTTCAATCAAACTTTCATTCAGTTTGATCAATGTTTGGCAGTGGTTGTGGTATTCTAAAACTTAAGTTTCTGTTAGGTGACCAATAGCAGTGACATCCTCTTTGGTGGTTACTTTGCTGAGATATTGTTGACATGAGATTTGATGCTTGATTACCATGCAAAAGCAATCCTTGTGCTCCTAGAAAGTTTCAAATGATACATTATAATCGTAATAAGATTCTTGTCTACAGAAAAGATTATGGTTGTCCTAGCTACTAATATAACACACAGCGCAATGTTCCATTGCTGCAGAGATTTGTATTTCTGACTTGTGCTCTAAAACGTAATGTAGTTTGCAATATTATGGCCGAACAGATTTGGAAACATTAGTCTGAGAGAAGAATTGTTGGTTATCCTTTTCAGGAACGACCAAAATGGCTGGATATAAAAACCGTGAATGAACTGAAAACGAAGCTGGGACATGTCATAGTGATGCTGCTTCTGATAGGTTTGTTTGACAAGAGTAAGAAGGCTGCTATAAACACTCCTGTGGATCTTCTTTGCTTCTCTGCTTCCGTCTTGCTTTCCTCAAGTTGCCTTTTTCTACTCTCTAAGCTGAACGATGACAAATGAGGTTTTCTGCCCATACGTTACAATATCAACCTTTGGATAATGTAAATGAAGATAGCTAACCTAGAGTTACACATTACTTTGTTGTATATGTTGAGATGTGTAATGTTATATACATGTGCGTGTGTGTATGCTGTTTCACACTTGTCTTTTTGGCCAAAAAAAAAAAACTTGTCTTGGTTTCTTCTTGCTTCTGTTTTGTAGTTTTAAGTTAAATTAATGGATAATGAAATTTGAATTCCACAAAGCACTCTATGGCGTTGGTAATGGAATGTAGCTCCCACTATCCATTACTCCCTCATATCCCATATGAGTTACAGCATATAAAAGTTGGTTTAAATGAGTTAAAAATAGTAAGTGTGAAAGAGATGATGTTTTTGTGAAAATATCCTTATTTAGGGAAAGAGCGAGTGAGGAAAAATGAATGGACATAAAATAAAACAAAATAATGTGTGGAAAAATATGAAAGAGACATATTTTGTGGAGATAGAAAGAAAAAAAAAAAGGCAATTTAAAATTTACCAATTGTAACTCAAAAAAAAAAAAGCCTTATCCCAGTATTTATAACTCACATGATCGGGTTATGTAAAGCTTATTTTTGTGATTAAAGAATCAAAATAGACTAAAAGAACAAACAGAAAGAATTATTGCATTCTTGTTTATCCAAGATATGTATAGTGAGAGTCTACATATAGACAATTAAGATACAAAAGATAATAAGTAACAAAAAAGATATAGAATAATAGCATAACAAAGTCACAAGACCAAGCCCATTAAACAGCTGAGCTTTGCAATTTGTTTTGGGCTTCAATACTCCCTCACGAGGCGAGCTGAGCTGCAAGCACGATGAGACTCGAATGAAGTGCTACAAATTTGGAGGATGGCAAAGGCTTAGCAAGTATATCAGCCAGTTGATTTTTGAAAGATACATGAAGAACAGTGAAGATGAAGAGCATAATTGGAAGTGGCTTGAAGATGCGGAAGAATTCTCTTGACTGTCGTCCAGTGGGGCTTCTCTGGGTGATGTAAAGTGACAAACTCGATTAACAGCAAAAGTAATATGTGGTCTAGTAAAATTGAGGTATTGAAGACTACTAACAATACTTCGATCGACGTAGGGATTAGCAAAATCAACACCATCATAAGTAGAGAGATTACTTTTTTGCAGCAATTGGAGTTGAAACAGGACGCGCATTAGACATTTTGGCTTTAACCAAGAGATCTAGTATATACAGATGTTGAGAAAGAATTGAGCCTAAAATAGTAGGCTAAACTTCAATGCCTAAGAAATAGTGTAATTGACCAAGATTCTTGACAGGAAAAGTTGCACTTAAAGCATTACTCAATTCTTGAATCATAGTAGGGGAAGAGCTAGTCATAAGCTATCCCATTAATTAAACCTGCCTCTGATACCATAAAAAAACCAAAACAGAGTAAAAGAACAAACAGAAAGAATTATCCCATTCTTACTTATCGAAAATATATACAATGGGAGTCCACATATAGACAATTGAGATACAAAAGACAATAAGTAGCAAGAAGAATCTATAATAATGGAGTCACAGGAGCAAGCCCATTAAACAGTTGGGCTTTGCATTTTGTTTTGGGCTTTCATAGGGATTAATGTTTATTTAGTTTTTTTTTTTTCTGAGCATCATTGATGATTAATGTTTATTTATTTTATTTTTTTAGCTTGATTGATTTTTATTTACTAAGATATATTATAAATAACATGAACTCTCTCGTTTAATCCCTCCCCGAAAGTGTTGACCGATTAGTGGTTAGGCTTTGCTGGTCTTTTGTCACTCCAAAAAAATCGAGAGAAGGAAAGAGGAAAATAGGAAGACGAAGAATAAATGAAATTGTGCATTCTATTTAGGTTGTGGGGATATTAATTCCATAAAATTAGAGAATGAGGCTCTGATGAAGGATCGTTTTTTTTTTGGTGGGGGGAGCTAAACTACAAATCCCAAAAAAAAAAAGAGCTAAACAAGCACAAGATTTGGAAATACAGTTTGAATTGCCGTAAATTCAATCAAACGAGGCCCACATGCTTTGGATAAACAGAAATCGATGGCTTAAAATCATCATTAGGAGAAGTGGATGGAATCATTTCATTTGTTAGTTAGTGATAATATTATATATTTACTCTTTGTGATACAGGTAAGACAAAACTTACATTGAATACTCGTTTTTTTTTTATGTATAAATCATTTCCAAAAAAGTTTTTTATGCTTCTTTTTATAAGTTATTTTGTAAAATGCGTTAAATAATTAATATATTTCTAATTAGTGTCCTTGTTACGTATATTGTTGGTTAATCATAGGCGAAGAAATTGAAAAAGATGGATAAACTTGAGTTAGGTTTATTATACTTCTCCAGTCTTTAATATATTATCTAATTAGGGAGTTGATATAGGTCATATATATAAAACTTATTTAACATATTTATCAATTTTTTAAAAATTAATTCTATTGATATTTTCTCTACAATAATCACGTAAGTAAAGGAGTGAGGAAATTAAGGAAGATGCTCAGAGGGTAATTTAGAAAAAAATCATATCAATTAATTTAACTAACATCATTAATATATTTAAATTAGTTAATTAGGTCTTACATTAAAGACCGAAAGAGTATTTAATTAAAAATATCTTGGAAAGATAGACAAAATAATTTTAAAAATATTAATTAAATTTAAGTATTTGTTTGTTTGTGTCAATGGGATGAATATATAAGGGAAAATTCCAGAAAAGGTCCTTGGAATATATGAAATCCCAGATTAGGTCCTGGAATTTTAAAAATGACAGAAAGGGTCAGTGACCCAATCTGTCATTTGTGAAATTAAGACCAATTGACAATTTTGCCCCTGGCTAAACAAAAGTGAGTAGTTATTCTCTACAAAAATCTAGGTAACGCTTACATTGTTCTAGTGATTACATGATTAGTTATAGTTAATAATAAGGTACCTGATAATAATAAGATACCTGACTATGAAAAAGTGAGTAGTTATTCTCTACACGAATCTAGGTAATACTTACATTGTTCTAGTGATTACAAAATTAGTTGTAGTTAATAACAAGACACCTGAATATGAAAAAGTGAGTAGTTATTCGCTACACGAATCTAGGTAATGCCTAAACTCTTATAGTGATTTCTTAAATTATTGTAGTGAATGAATACAAATGAGGGCAAAGTTGTCAATTCCTCTTAATTTGACAAATGACAGATTGGGTCACTGACCCTTTCTGTCATTTTCAAAATTCCAGGACCCAATCTGAAATTTCTCATATTCCAAGGACCTTTTCTGAAATTTTCCCAATATATAACTCATAAATAAAGATTGTGCGTGTATATTATTTTTTATAGTTTGCGTTAAAGACAGTTTTATTTGGGACGCTATAGTGAGCGCATTTCTTGATAGAAATTGGAATTTTTGGCATCTTTGGGCTTGGGCCTATTTTATTTAGGCATTTTCTTTCTTGTTTTACATAGTTTTTATTTTTTTTTTAGGACCTTAGTTTTACTCAATTACTAGTTGGTACTTGCAAATATGAACGCACGATTTGTCTGAGTCAATATATTTAAATCCAACTAATAATTCTTATATAAAATAAAACTAGTGTATCCTTAAAATATTTCCACTATCAATTCCCTTCTAGTTCCTTAACCTTTGCAACATAATCACTGATAATGCACCCCACTTCAAAACACCCATGGTTTTAAAATTTTCTGTTTCTCGATCTATTATCTATATATAATAAACTTTTAGAACCCATTAACACGATTTTATGTACTATGAAGTTTATTTTCTCAAACAACTTGCATTTCATGTCTATATGCAATACCCTCAAGTAATAATGCTCTATGGAGTCTCATCTCATAATTATTAATTACTCCTCTGGTCCTAATTATAAGACCCAATTGACTTATTTGAGGAGATTAAGGAAGTAAGTTAAGTTGGTTATTTATAATAAATAAGTGTTGTCATTCCTAAAATATTCTTGCTAATTAAGTATATTGGCTAAAACTATCATTATTAGAAGGATTATCTTGAAAAAAAATACATAAATATAAGAGACAAAATGGATTGGGTCTTATAATTAGGACCAAATAAAAAGTCAAATTGGGTCTTATAATAAGGACCGGAGGAGTATGAGATTTAGGTGATTCATATCGTCTCACAAGTAGACAAAAACCTCCACTAAACAATATCTTTAGAATTTTATCACTGAAATGCGTAGTTTAGTACATGCATCCTTGGGAGAATGACAATTTGGATCATTGTGGAGAAATTATTGCCACTTTGTGTACTCATTTTAAACGACTAGTTGTTAATATGATATTGATATAATCGTAAATCTCAAAAAGAGGGTTATAATAATAATAATAATAGATATGTTTGAGGTATCAAAGCTTCAATAATTTTCTTCTTAGAAGGTACCTAAATATCATCATCTTCCTTTTATCCTTTATAGCCCACCGCATCTCATCAATGTGAGTTTAAAGTATGGAGAAATTAATTGTGCATACCTCTCTTATTATTATAAGATTCACATTCTTGAATTGGTCCGTTTCTTTTCATAAGATTTATTTGAACATTAAATACATTTTTACCCATTTTATGTTACTAAATTAATATATTTTTTCTCTATTGGTATATAAAATAAGTGCGTATTATAATTTATACATATTTATTAGTTTTCTTAAACCAAACAATTTGATTATTTGAATCTTAACATTATAGCAATAAGAGAAGGAAGGATACTGGCTAATAATTGAGCTAGAAAAAGAAGTATCCACACGTGCACGCACAAGAGTCATGATTATAATATTTTGAGGTTTGGAATTCAATTTGTGGAGTCAGTATCCTTTCTGTAATTTTTCTCTCAATCCCAATATAAAAGAAGACCCAGTGATAAATCTCTATTATGTAATGATATGATAGGACCACTGATACGTATATCAGTATAGCCGCAACAAGAAGAAGCAGTATTTTCCCATAAAGTGAAATTAATATTTTTTCTTAAACATATTCCTTTTGGTTCTCACTGCATCTTTGCAGAGTTTAAATAATATGTTTTGCTCTATTTTATATTTTCATAAGATATCTAACGTCACTAATCATTTGTTTACTATTTTATCTTTAATAATTAGTGTCGAGCTTATACTGTTCCCATACATAATCATTCTACATTTTACCTTTTTTTATATAACCACGCATTCATATCATTAACATACACTATCACAT